CCCTGCAGATAGTGAGGGCTGAAGGAACTTGTATCAGGACTCAGGCCTTGGGTGATAGTAAAATGCCAACCTGTAAGACTGAGACTTCCATATTGATACCTACATCCCGACTGTCTTATTTCCAAAGGATAGTGCTGGTTTTCTAGTCCACCTTCCCCAATTTCAAATTTTGTATCCCTATTTTGTACATATTTTGCTTTCAGGGGAGATTATAGAAATATTGATAAAACTTTTAAGTTAACTGCAAGAACACTATAATAGAAAAACAAATCAGCAAAACATCCATATAAGAGAAAAGGAATAAATCAACCTATTAATTATTTGATTTTTAAAAAGTCATTTGCTTCCTAAATGACACGAAGAAGAATACCTCATGGATCCTTCTTGGGAGGGCATTTCATAATTGGAGATGCCTCCTGTGGTCATCACCTGCTTGATGGAGGTGGATGGACAGAGAGGAGAACAGCTCTTAAAAGGCCAGGCATGGGATAAAGTCATCCTTTATCTATCTAGTACATTTTTATGCTGCCCTTCTTCCAAAAAGGTCCAGGATAATGTCCTTTCTTCCCCATTTTATCCTCACAACAACCCTGTGAAGTAGGTTAGGCTGACAGAAAGTGATGGAGGAGGAAGAGGAAGAGGAGGAGATTGGATTTATACCCCACCCTTCACTACCCAAGGGAGTCTCAGAGCGGCTTACAGCCTCCTTTCCCTTCCCCTCCCCACAACAGACACCTTGTGAGGTAGGTGGGGCTGAGAGAACTCTGACAGAAACTGCTATTTTTAAAGAACAGCTGTGCCAGAATTATCGCTTGCCCAAGGTCATCCAGCCAGGTGCAAGTGGAGGAGTGGGGAATCAAACACGGTTCTCTCAGTTTAGAGTCCGCGCACTTAACCACTACAACAAACTGGGCCCAAAGTCATCCAGCAAGCTACAGGATAATCCTGGAATCCAAGTCCCTTAGATCCTAGCACAACAATCTCAACACTACTTCTATATGGTGCAGTGATCCCAAGTCATTAGAAATTAAAGGTCAAAAGCAACCTATTTTCCAGGGAAGTGCACTAGCACCAAAAATGTGGGTTCAGAATTTGGATTTGGAATTAGGGTCCTTCAGATTTGAAATTCAGAATTTAACAAATACAGAACTTCTAAATATCTAGAACTCAACAGGAAGAGCCATTTTCCACTTTAAAAAAATGTTAAAAAGGCAGACCAGTTTTCACAAGGTCTCCCTCAACTTTTCCAGGGCCGCTTTATACGTGGCCCAGTGGAACAGAGGACAACTGATGCTGGGGAGTGTTCAAATGCCCTGGACAGCACTTGCAGGCAATATTCCACCTAAACTCTGCAGTGTTGTGAGCAGAAATTCTATAGTGTTAAAAAGGCAGACAAGTTTTCACAAGGTTTCCCTCAACTTTTCCAGGGCAGTTTTATACATGGCACAGTGGAACAGAGGACAGCTGATGCTGGGGAGTGTTCAAATGCCCTGGACAGCCCTTGCAGGCAATATTCCACCTAAACTCCAGTGTTGTGAGCAGAAATTCTACCTCGTGAGTGAAAAAAGTTAGTAGCATTAAAGTTGTGAGCGAGTCTACATTTGACTATTGCATAAATTAGTCTTTTCCAAAGATTACTTCCACAACCTTGTAAAAATTTCAGAATAAATTATTTTAAATTATAGCTAAGCTATATTTTAAAAATAATTTAGACATTATAAGAAAAAACAGAATCAAGTCAAATTTCACCCACCTCTTTCCACTGTATTAGTAGACCTGTCCTCCAGAGAACAGTTCTATCAACCCCAGACCATTATATTGGTAGGCCTGGCCTCCAAAGAACAGGTCTACCCACCACTTTTCACTATATTGGTAGACCTGGCTTCTGGAGACCAGGTCTACTCACCCCCAGTCCACTGTATTGGTAGATCTGGCCTTGGACCGTCACCCTGAGCTGAGCCTTAGAAAACATACCAGCATTTGGGGAGGGGGGGATTCTTGCAGTTCCTGTCCAAACTACTTATATATCCAGATATTTATATCCCACTTCTTCCTGACTCAAGGCAGCTTACAAATCATACTGAAAAGCATAACAGAGTGTGCACAAATGTTTTTTTCCAGCTCTGTTGTAGCCTATGGGAACCATTATAGTCAATAGGCCCCATAGACTATAATGGGGAATCAATCCAGGGGTATCTGGTGCTCTGGGGGGGCTGTTTGTTTGAGGAAGAGGCACCAAACTTGCAGCATAGCTGCTGGGGTCCAATTCTATGGTTCCCAGAAGGAGGTGCCCCCATCTGGTGAGCAGAGAACAGAAATTCCTGAGCAGACTTTTAAAATGTTGTGCGCTAGTGCTCCCTAGCGCAACTTAGAGGGAACTATGCTTGCACGCAGACTAGACCAACAGATAGACAGTGGTAGGAGGGTAGGAACAGCACTGGGCCCATCATAGTTGAGAGAATGAGTATAGTCCTGGGGTAGCAGTTGCAAGTAGGGTAGCCAGGTCCTACTTGGCAATCAGCAGAAATGGAGGGAGGGACTTACCAGGAGAGACAGGAAAGCCCAGGTGACATGGCAACATCACTTCCAGCTTGCATAGGAAGTGATGTCATCACATTGCAACATCACTGTGGTAAAAATAGCTTCTATCATAGAGGTTTTGCCCAAATACCACAGTGTTGCCACAATGTTGCAGTGTGATGATGTCACTTCCTGTGCATGCCAGAAGTGATGTAGCCACATCACTGGTGGTGTCACCTGGGCCTTCTCTCTCATCTGGACCCCCATCTTCACCGGGGGGTGGGGGCTGGCAACCCTAGTTGCAAGGAGGGAAGTAGCAGCTGGAGGAGGCAGCACATTGAAGTGTGGCATACCCTGTACTGTGGACTGGTGTATGCTGTTCTCTCTTACTCAAAGGGAACCTCTGGGAAGCCCAGCAATATTCCTGCAGCCTTTCCCATGTGCCAGCTTCCTCTACAATGCCCATATTTCATAATGCTGGCAGACTGTCTCTCCATAACCAACACTGGCAGAACACAGCCTCGTGATGAAAATCACATAAACAAAATCTGTTATCTTAATCTAATTTAACTGTATCTATCTATATCTATCTAACAGATCTTATCCTTATGTCTGATAACCCCCAAAGACTCCTAAACGTAATATAAAATTTCCCTATTAATCTACAGTCCAGTTAATCTATTCTGTTCTCAATATACACTAAGGGATAGTAAGGGAATCAGATGTAAAAAGGGACACACTGAAGACTGTTTCAGTATGCAGAGCAAATTATCAAGGGATTTCAGGGGGATTATATATGCAGCTATGTCCATCTTTCAGTTGGAAAGGTCCAGTGAGAAAGTACTGTCTGGTATCTGTACTTGCTTCAGGATTTCATAAGTGCAGACAGACATCACTCACAGGCTTTCAGTTTTCTTTCTCAAGAAGTCTACGTTGGTCCCAGTCACAAGGGCTATAAAATGTGGGGGGGGGGAGCCTGGCAGTTTGCCCTGGAGCAAAATAACGCGTGGCTGCCCTATCACAGGTCCCGTCAAGGTCCCGTGGGTAGGGGCAAGGTGGCGATCACACAAAGATCCTGCAACATGGCAAAGAAGCGGCACAATGCGATCTCACCAACAGCATGCGTGATTCTGCAGCGCAACGGAACTTTCATTTTCCTCTTCGTGTGCATGCGCTGTTGGGTGCTTGTGTGCATCCTGTGGAGACTTGGGGGGGGGAACCTGTTTGCGATGGGACATGGGCAGGCGCCGGATGCCATGGACTACCACCGGAAACGCGATCAGATGGCAGCCCTTGCCCTGCGGTTTCCAGAAAATAGTACTTCGGAAGTACTAGTTTTTAACTCCGCATCTTCGGTGGGAAGCCTCGGGTTCACCATGGGAGCTCTACGCTTCCCAGATGTTGCGGTGTGATCGCGCCCGGAAAATTCGCCTATCATCCATCTCAGTAGCGTGGCTAATGCTCCGTGTGACCGCAGCCATTGTCAGATGAATGCATTTCACTTTCCTCTTCTTGCAGATAATTTTGCCTGCTTTCCATTGGAATCAGTGGGACTCTGAATATTAGGAGCTATCCTGAATACCCAGAACTATAAAATTCAGATTCAGAAGCATTTCCACATGTGACCTGCATGGAATGTTGTTGACATTAATTTGTAATGGGTAAGGGGGGGGCGTTTCAGCCTTTCATATAAAGTATTTGAGAATCAAAGGATTGAGTTTTGTCAAGTGAATTCTTGCTTCTAGGGAGTAATGGGATGTAAGAAATTGCTGCAAAGTTTCAGGAAGACTTTAAATATTTTTGAACTAGTGTTTGGTGCAAAACAAATTCAACATTGTCTTCTTCTGAAGTCTGAAGAATGTGCAGCCGAGTTGCAGCTGACTCAAGGGAACATTGTCTTCTTCTGATGTGCAGCCGAGTTGCAGCTGACTCAAGGCAACCCCATCCATGGGACATTCCGGGCAAGCAAGAAGCAGAGGTGTTTTGCCATTGCCCTTCTCCACATAGCAGCCTCCCTCTTCATTGGTGGTCTCTCATCCCAGTATTGACTGTGGCTGACCCTTCTTAGGCTCCAAGCTCTGTTAAGCCTGGCTTAAGCTGGGCTATTCAGGCTGCTATCATAAATGTTGCCAACATATTCTTCAAAATAACAAAATACTTGAAGAACTACAACCTCCTTGGCAAAGAAGCAAGTAGATTACCTTAACATCAGCATCAAGGAAGGCACTCAACAATGCCTGGCCTTTCAGGTACATTTATAGCATATTTTATGAGAGTCAGTACACACCTGAATAAAACCTCACTGTGACTGTTTTGACTTTTCTTGTCATCTTGTGCCATTTTATTGGACGTATATAAGGTATTCAGAGAAACTTGGTTTGCTGACTCAGACACCAAACAAAACATTGCTGAAGGTTGTCCACGTTACTGCAGACCAACTGAACTCCCTGCAAATCCACTTGCCTCTTGGTGCCTAAGGAATGGAAGGTAAGTCCTTTGAAGTTTTCACGTTAACACATGATCTTAAGCAGTTGCTTTTCCGCATTGGCCTACTGGCACATCATTGTATTTGTAATGTTAATATAAGCACTGCAGTTGTATGCTTAATAGATACATTATTGGTGCTTCAGGTCATTGCAAGTGGCAGAGGCATAGGAACATCAGTATTACTACTAGGTGTTAGGCTGGTGCTGCAGCTGATCAGCTGCACGGGATATATAAGAAAAAGGTGGGCAATGACAATATCTGCCTTTAGATATATTGTTGTCTTGAGTGGTGAGGCACTCCAGGGGTTAGCATTGACCTGGATTGGTTCCCTTTGGAGGACAGAATACTAGAGTCTTATGTAATGTTGTAGTATTTGCCTTATTTACAAACATCCAAGTAGAGCACAGGTGGAGGCAAAGAGGTACTTCTCTCCCCAGGTGCTTTAGCCAATGACCGGCAGTGGCCCTCTGCTTCCCTCTCTCTTTCAGCTTTTCAATATTACATTTTCTTTTCAGATGGACACACATCTGCTTCCACTCTACTAGCTAGGAGGCTCACCTCTTCCAGCCTCGAACAAAATCAGTTTCTGATCCCCAAGGCTCATCTATGGTCATTAAGACATCTTATTATTTCATTTGTCATGTAGGATAGACTGAGCCATAGCGATTAGAGGCCAAGTCTTTTTTTTTTAATACCGTATTTCCTCTTAACACCTGGTATACTTACTTTGAACATGGAAGTCATTTCTAGCAATCATGATGATTTCCTCCTGCTAGATCTTTACCTGTTCTCTCTTGAAGGTAGAAGAACAAAAAAAAGAACTGCTGTTTCATCAAAGTTCGATGGCAGTACACAAGCACTCCCCCCCCTGTATGTAGCCTAAAGTTTAGCATTCATAACATCACTTTTCTGTGTTACACATTTTGCCACAAGAAAAACCAACTGGTTGCTGTGAGCTTTTCAATGGAGTCTGTTTCTATAAGAAATGCTTTAAGCATTTCCAATGGATCCTGTTCCTGTTAGAAATCTGAGATATAAGAAACCTCAGGAGCTTGGAGGGGGGAGGGAAGCTGCAAAACAGTGATTAACAGCATGATGGCAATTAAATCTAAGGGGGTAGGAGAAGGTGGTGAGAGCCAGAGGGCTAAAGAAAGCACAAAGACTCAGAGAAATTCAAGAATGAAAGCTGTCACCCTAGGGCAAGCTAGAAGCAGGGTGATGCAACAATGGTTAATAAGCAAACTGAATGGGTAGAATTAAGAGGCTGAAGGAACCACTTTAAGATCTGAAAATGGCTCATGTCCTGCAAAGCATGACAAATGAGAATGTTACTAATGAAAATTTGCATTCAAGTCTGACATTTAACCTGCTGTTTAGAAGTGCCATTTTTGTTCCCTCCGCTATTTTTGAAGTGCAGGTACATGCATAGCAAGAATCTACTCTTTCTGTATGTTTACAAAGAGTGGTGAATCTGACATCATGCAATATTATTAGATCAAAGCTCACTAAGTAGTTCAGTATCTAGTAAGTATGGAGGTATACACCTTGGGATCCTCATCTTCCTTTCAGAGTCCTTGAGATGTACATGTGGTAGAGCAAGCGTCAAAAAGCTTGCCAAGACAGTGCAGAAAAGACATTTAGGCAAAGATAAACCCTTCCTTGGAGAATTTATAGCAGTTTCACTGATGCCAATAGGCTTTTAGTAGGACAACAATGAGAGAAAATGCATGTATGCTGATGTAAGTTTATATTGTACACTCTAGGAATCTGCCTCATATTTCTTAAAACAGAGGCCAGTGTAGTACTGTATCTCTTCTGACACTTAAACAATATAATACATTTTTAATGCACTTCAGCAGTTTTCATTAATTGTTTTAAAGAGTCTTACAAAGTATTGATTTTTAAAATTGTTTAAATCTGCTGAAACCCCACAGAAAGTTTCAAAATCTGACTACTTCCTCTGAAAACTATATAAAACATAATGAAAAGCTCTCCACATCCTCTGGAACAATTCTCGCCTTGGTGATCATTATCTTTTAATAGCAGAAGCTTCTTTCCCCATTATCTCACCTATAAACAACTAAAGGCCAACATTGCATAAGTGCTACTAAGCCACAAAAACAAAGGAACAGAAACTTAGGGCAGTCAAACAGGATCTTTTTTTTCCCCCATTGCAAAAGCTGAAACTGCAAGCTGTGTTCCTTCACAAGAGCATAGGTCAGAATTACACATAACAGTCAAATGTGGCTTGTCATTTCTGGAGCAAGCCCTGGAGATTTTCAGCTCATGGGCTCCCTCCTCTCTTGATGTGCAGCTCAATAACAAAAGATTCAGCTTTCACAGGAAAGCATAGTTTGTTGTTGCATCCATCCTATGAATTGTGGTTTATTCTTTTCTCCACAAACAGGATTCAAACCAAGATTAAACCAAAGCATAGAATTCTGTTTTGCTAAGGAAATAATACACAATGGACTAGATCCAGTGTTCCCTCTATGTTGAGCTATGTGTTAGCTTGCTCCCAGTATTTTAGCCTCCAGCTCACAAATTTTTGTCTTAGCCCAGGAAGGATGGCTCCAGAGCAAACTCATTTATGCAGTAGCCAAATCACTTGCTACAACTTTAATGCCAGTAGCTCACAAGCAGAATTTTTGTTCACAAGACTCCACAGCTTAGAAGGTGCACTGGATCCAACAGAACATTCCCATTGATGGGAGGAGGGGGTATTGCCAATCCACCATCCTGCTACAGACCTCTTAATCCCTCTTTGTGCTGTTCCTGGTGTCCCCCATGTCCCAGAAACAGCATTTTGGCCTGCAGAAAGGGAAATATAGAAGTTCTCCTAGGTGGCTGTTTTGACACAACCGCAAACTTTTTTTAAAAAAAAATATGAAGGTTTCATTTCCAAGCTGTGTGCAAATAAAGGGAGCAGATGGGAATACAGCATGAGATCCCAAAGATCCTCCCCATGTTCGCTCCTGCAAGAACAAAACATGGTTTGTTATGCATAACCAGTTTCTCCAAGATCCTCTATGTTCTGCCTGTTATATGGGAGATGCATGAGTAGCCCCCCCTTTTGTTTATAAAGAGTGTGTGGGAAGGGGCACTTTGGATCAAAGCCATGGTGCTGAGGGCATGGGAGGTTAATCATTATCTTCTGTGCTATTTCACAGATAGAAGTGACTAATGGGGCTTTTATGCATTCTCATTTTCCTCTCTTGTAAGTTCTTGTTTCCTTGGTTCCCCCTGTTCTGAATGTGTTTTGCCCCCTCTAGTGGTTGATTCTATATTACATCAGTTTATGTCATTAATATCTCCTGGTCAATTTAAACTGCAGAATGTTTTTGCCAGGCATAAAGTGATATAATATCCAATTGACCACTAGAGGGAGCAAAACACACGTGGAACAGAATATCTACCCCCCCCCCAAAGAAATGGGAACTTACAAGTGAAGAAAATGATAATGCGAAAAAGCCTCTGAGCTGCTATTAGCTTTAATATGTGGGAGGCAAGTATGCTATAAGGACCTATGTTTTTCTGTTACTTCAACAAATGTTGCTCTGGAAGATGGTTTGTATTGGGGAAAAATTACACAGGGGAAAAGTTTAAAAAAATGCTTCCCCACTGCCACAGCCCTTCAAATTTTCATCCTCCTCCCCATGGCTCCTTATTAATGTTAATGAAGATGGTGGAAGTTCCAGAGACACTTGACATGTAGTTTGGCCCTGAGTGTCTTGAGTTTTTTCTGACACTTCTGCTACTTCAACAAAAGTTGTTCTGGAAGATGGTTTGTATTGGGGGGAAATTACACAGGGGAAATGTTTAAAAAAATGCTTCCCCACTGCCACAGCCCTTCAAATTTTCATTTTCCTTCCCATGGCTCCTTTTTAATGTTAATGAAGATGGTGGAAGTTCCAGAGACACTTGACATGTAGTTTGGCCCTGAGTGTCTTGAGTTTTTTCTTCTTTTTTGAAGATCATGGGCTTTGTCAATTCCTTTGCTTTCCCACAGCCCTTGAAGTGAAAAGTGTTGATCTAAACTGTCTTCAGAATGGCAACAACCATCACACACAGTATTTTGGTGCGAATAAACTCATTGTGAGAAGAGGCCAGGCCTTTGGATTGTATTTGCACTTCCAAAACCGGGACTGGGATGATGACAAGGACAAGATCACATTTACAGTGGAGACAGGTAGTTCCCATATGTGGTGTTAACATGTTCTGTGGAGTCAACAGAGGTATTTCTTTTATTATTAATGGGACCAGGGCCTTTAACATTCTTTGCATGAATCCCTTAGTATGTATCATTGTGCCAGTTTGGATTTTATTTTCTGAGCAGTCATCAGTTCCTGTCAGTGATCTATATGTGTGATTATTGTAGCATCAGAAGAAGGCACTCATGGAAGGCTATGCAGCTATTTTAACAGCACACACTGGAATCTCTTTTTGTGGTTTTCCATGAATCCCTCCTCCAACACAAGACTGTTCATAAAGCTAGATTCTGGGCTTGTTTACTCAGAAATAATCAGCTTTGCTACCAAGTACTGCAGCCTAAAACTATCACTCTTTGTTGTTAATTACACATAAATCAATGTTCTTTATTTTAAAAAAATAGCAGTCACCTCTGTCATCTAGGGTTGCCACCTATGGCTTAGGAAAATTGGGGTGGTGCTTGGAGAAGGTGGCATTTGTGAGGAGGAGAGAGCTTAGCAGGGATGTGATGCCACAAAATTTACCCTCTGAAGCTGTCATTGGGAAATCGATCTTTGTAATTTGGAAGTGAATTGTAACCCCAGCAGAACTTTCAGACGAGGGGGTGTATTTTTGGCTATTAAGCATAGTCAATTCCAGATAATCCTGAAAAAATTCAGGGAAATGGGATAGCCAGGAAAACAGGATAGCCACAGTTAAATGGAGTTTAAAGAGAGTGTCATCTTTGGTTTGACGTCAGTCCTTCTTTTTTTTTTTGCTGTTTTATTCCCACCATTGGAAACAATGGAGGATGGTGGCACCATCTTTAGGCGCCCATAGAATTGGTCTCCCTGGTCCAATCTTTTTGAAAGTTGGGGGGGGGTCTTTTGAGGAGAGGCACCAGAAGCTATGCTGATATTTTTTATTGCCTCTGCCTCAAAAAAATAGCCCCCCATATCCCTGGGTACCTCCAGATAGATTCCCCATTGACTATAATAGTCCCATAGGGCATAATGGAGCTTTTTTTAAAAAAAAAATCAGGATTTCTGAAAAGACCTGAATCAAATACCATATTGGTAGTGGAATGTGTTTTTTCCCCCGGAATCCTGAATTATTTTTTTTTGTCCAATATATCCAAATCCTAACCCCCCCTGCCCTTTGTGCACACCCCTAGTAACTAACTGTCATCTTATTTTTACACTAGGAATTGTTGCTAGACTCTGTTCCCCAAACTCCCATTCTAAACAAAGTTTATACAAAACCTGAAAAATGTTTACTCAAAAGTGATTTTTTTTAAAAAAATGTTTCTTGAATAGGCATCAAACCCTGTGAGTCTCTCGGGACAAAGAGCACCTTTCCTTTAGGTGGAAGTACAGATCAAGACTTTTGGAGTGCATGCTACAAACACCATGATGAAAAATGTCTCAGTGTCAATCTGCTCTCTCCGGTAAATGCCTGTGTTGGCTGCTACCTTCTGAACATGTGCCTGGTATCCTGTGATCACACACATACCCAAAATCTTGGAGAATTCTATGTCCTTTTCAACTCTTGGTGCTCTGGTAAGAATCAATAAAAATTGCAAGATAGGATGCTATAAGCTTAGTGAGTGCCTAAGACTGGCTAATTAATAGGAAACAGAGAGTGAGTATAAATGGGAAATTTTCTCAGTGGAGGTGGTAAGCAGTGGGGTACCACAGGGATCAGTAGTTGGTCTGATGCTTTTTGTTTATTAATTATTTGGACTTGGGAGTAAGCAGTGAAGTAGCTAAATTTGCAGGTGACATGAAGTTGTTCAGGGCGGTGAGAACCAGGGAGGACTGTGAGGCACTCCAAAGGGATCTGTCAAGGATGGGCGAGTGGGCATCAGTGTGGCAAATGGGGTTCAATGTGGCCAAGTGCAAAGTGATGCACATTGGAGCCAAAAATCCTAACTATAAATACACATTGATGGGGTCCAAACTGGCAGAGACTGACCAAGAGAGAGATCTTGGAGTCGTAGTAGATAACTCAATGAAAATGTCGAGACAGTGTGCAACTGCAATAAAAAAGGCCAACACTATGCTGGGGATTATTAGGAAGGGAATTGAAAACAAATCAGCCAGTATCATAATGCCCCTGTATAAATCAATGGTGTGACCTCATTTGGAGTACTGTGTACAGTTCTGGTCATCACACCTCAGAAAGGATATTATAGCATTGGAAAAAGTGCAGAAAAGGGCAACTATAATGATAAAAGGGTTGGAACACTTTCCCTATGAAGAAAGGTTAAAACACTCGAGGCTCTTTAGCTTGGAGAAATGACAGCTTAGGGGTGACATGATTGAAGTTTGTAAGATTATGCATGGAATAGAGCAGGTAGAGAAAAAAGTACTTTTCTCCCTTCCTCACAATACAAGAACTCATGGGCACTCAATGAAATTGCTGAGCAGTTGGGTTAGAACAGATAAAAGGAAGTACTTCTTCACCAAAGAGTGAATAACACATGGAATTCACTGCCCCAGCGGCAACAAGCATGGACAGCTTCAAGAGGAAATTAGATAAGCACATGGAGCAGAAGTCCATCAGTGGCTATTAGCCACAAGGTATAGATAGGAACTCTCAGGCTGGGGCAAGTGATGCTCTGTATTCTTGGTGCTTGGGGGGAGGCAACAGTGGGAGGGCTTCTAGTGTCCTGGTCCCACTGCTGGACCTCCTGATGGCACCTGGTATTTTTGGCCATTGTGTGACAGAGTGTTGGACTAGATGGGCCATTGGCCTGATCCAACGTTGGCTTCTCTTATGTTCTTAATACATACACACAGATTCATGAGAAAATATATCCAAGTGGTAGGGATTGTAGCCAATTTAATCATCAAGTTTATTACTATATGCAGGACTTAATTAAGTACAGGAATATTTGTACCTCACAAACTCAGTCACCAAAGCCATAAGTACTCTTTTTTAGTCACGTCCTTCCTACAAGGAGCTCATGGCAATGTACATGTTTTCCCCATCCCTCTTTTTATCATTGTGAGGTAGCTTAGGCTGAGAGTGAATGACTAGCCCATGGTCATTCAGTGAGTTTCATGGCAGAGATCTGAACCCAGGTCTCCCCTTTTCTAGTCCAACTACTACTCCACATTGGCTCTTCATATTGTTTCTTGACAGCTGAAAATGCTTGGTCTCTTATGAACATGGACCAACTAAGATATCCCAATACATCTTTTCCCCCCATTTTTCATCTAGAATGTTTCAGTTGCTATGTGTTTAAGGAGCAAGATCATGTAGACTTCACAAAATTATCCCAGTGCAGGTCAGTGTCAGTGTTTATGAAGGGTTTACACACTGATATATTTTCTGATTCACAGCTGAATGTGTGAACAGAAGTGTTATGTTTCAGGTAACATAATAAGTTATGTGAAAATTGCCTATGGTCTTTGATCTGTGACTGATAACATCACACAAGCAAGCCATCAGTTGATGTTGTAAAACCTGAGTGCTAAATATGTATGTGTGAACTACCCCTGATATATCTCTTTGCTTTGGAACTTGTGATCAGCCTATAAATCCTATTTCCTTGTTCTCTAATAAATAGTGGAGATAATTGCTACATACTACCATAAATGTTGCTGCATCTTTGATTTCCAATATGATATGAAAATATGTCTATTACATTCTCAGATGATCCCGTGTATCTAGACAATCAAGCCCACAGAGAAGAGTATGTATTAAATGAACATGGGATTGTATTCCAAGGACTTCCCAAACACATAACATCTCATGCTTGGTATTTTGGACAGGTAAAAACGATGTTTTAGGACTTGTGTCTATTACGGATTCCCTTAGTCTGTTATGGTTTACCATTCACTGTACTCTTGATACAAATTGTCTATGGGAAAGAAGAATACCTAATGTGATTACTACTGAATAGTAGGCTTCTTTTGTTTTAGTATTCTATATATTTTTCAACAAATATTTTTTTCAGTATTGGAAGTAGGTCTGTATATTTAAGTGTACAGTAGTTATCCATTCCAGTCTATAACATTAGCAACAATATTACATCATTTGTACATAGTAGGGATGTGCATTCAGTTCAGATGAACTGAAAAAATACTGAATAATGCCTACTGGGCATTATTTGGGCATGCCAGAAGTTGAATCAGATTCTCTAACCTGATTCATCTGGGCGAACAGGGATTCCCTGAATGGATGCCTCCCTAGCAAAGGGTAGATGCTTAAATTTTAAACACTTTCCCTTGATTCTGGGGCTCATGCCACCTCCGTGGTGTGACTCCTTGGCCAAGGGAAGGTATTTAAACTTTCCTTGGCTGGGGAGTTGCACTGCAGAGGCAGCATGAGCCTCAGCAGTAAGGGAAAGTGTTTAAAGTTTAAACCCTTCCATTCCCTGCCCACTTTGGTGGACGGGCTGGGGAAGGGACAGGGAGGCATTTAACCATGCCTCCCCGCTCTCTTCAGGAATACCCCACCCACCCACCTCGGCGAATGGGCCGGGGAGGCATTTAACCATGCCTCCCCACTCTCTCCAGGCTTCCCCCACCCACCTGTCTTGGTGTACAGGCCAGGAAAGGGATGGGGAAGCATTTAACCATGTCTCTGTATTTTCTCCAGGCTTCCCATCCCTCCCATCGCCCCTCCCACCACCTCCCCACTCTCTCCAAGCTTCCCCCGCTGCCTGCCTTGGCAGAAGAATCGGGGAGGGGAGGGGGAGGTATGGTTAAATGCCTCCCCATTCCCTCTGCCCTTCCCCAGCCTGCCCACTTTGGCCTGGCACCAGCTGGAGAAAGGAAAAAAAAATCAGGGAGGCATTAACCCCCCCGAAGTAGCTCAGGGGGCAGTGGGCTCCCATCATTGCCTTCCCTTCAATGATAGGGAACCTCCACCCCACTTCAGGGGTTGGATTATTATACCCTATGGGGACAGTACCCATAGGTTATAATTGAGCTGAATAAATTCGGCAAGTCTGATAATTCCCGAACCCCAGTATCATACCGATACTGGGATTTGGGTTTATCTGCAAATACAGAATTTTTTTGGGTTTGGTAGATCTGAACTTGAAAAATTCTGATTTTTGTGTGTGTGTGTACACACTCCTAGTACAGAGTTATAGTTTTTACATCCAGTACAGGCACAAAATATTTTGTCTCTTCATTCCACAAAAGCAGGCATGGTAGAAAGTGGCTCTGAACTTTGAAAATGCAGCAGGATTGGATCTCTACTCCTCCCTTTTGTCTCCTTCTGCAGGAAGAAAAGGTGGTAGAGCCAAGGATGTTGTGGTTCAATTACACCATTTACTACTGTAACCCCACAAACACATAGATCAGAGAAAACAGAACATTTCCCCATTCCTATATTTGTCTCAATATATCCTTTGATTCCACAATCTAAATTTTGGGCTGCTTCTAATAATACATATCCACCAATCTGATCCTATTAATCTTTACTCAAAAGAAAGTCCCATTGAGTTCAATAGGATATTTTCCATGTAACTGTGTATAGGCCAAGTCACAACCTGAAAGCACAACATTCTCATATATAGTGAACACCAGTGAAAGGGCTGTTCTTTTCTTTAGCAGAGGCGAATCATACTTCATTGCATCCAAACTGATCCTTTCACAAGTTCGAGGCATTGTGTGAGATGTTGCAGACGCCATTCTCAATCTGTCTGTGAAGGCATGCTTCTACAAGAGAGTCTGTGGCACAGACTGCATTCTGCCAGTGTTTGTAGGATCTAACTCAATGCCAGAAGAAGTTATTTCTGCTTTTATTTAGAGACTTCTTCTGTAATACTTGGTATCAGCACTTGTAAGGCCCTCGTGCACCCCTCGCTCGGTGGGTGATGCATGGCAATGAGAAGACCCACAAGGCCTCAAAGCTGAGGGGTTGCTCCACCTTGTTCCTCCTCGCTCTCCACGACCACTGACCACTCCTGGGTCAGGGCACTCTGCTCTTCTCTACACCCTCCTAGCCTGCTCTGTCTCTGCTTTTCCTGACCCACCTCTGACCTTCCTAGCTGGTGAAGGTCCAACCATTCAGTCTGCCCCATGTTTTGCAGTGTGTCCCTAGCTGATACCACTCAGTTGGGGTAGGGTTGGGCACATCCCTTTTCTCTATGATGCTGGGCCACAAGCTTGAGCTGTGCTGGTATGATTGTCACTATGGATGCTACTGCTACTGCATCTGGCCCCTCACTGTCCCATTGTGCCACTGGCAAATCTGGGGAGGACTGCATATCTGGAAAGCTATGCTCCCTATTTTCTTTTATGTCACCTTTTTACTGATGATAATTCCATTTTAGTGTAGTGTAGTAAAAAGGCCACGGTGGCTCAGAGGTTAAGACACTGAGCTGCAGACTGGAAGGTTGGTAGCTCAGCAGTTCGAGACCTAACTGCTGCATGATGGAGTGAGCTCCCGTCTCTGGCCCCAGCTCCTGCCAACCTAGCAGTTCGAAAGCAAGAAATTGCAAGTAGATAAATAGGTATTGCTTTGGTGGAAAGGTAACAGCAGTCCGTGCACCTCAGCATCTAGTCATGCTATCCACATGACCATGGAATGTGTCTTCAGACAATGCTGGCTCTTCGGCTTGGAAACGGAGATGAGCACCACCCCCTAGAGACGGATTTGACTGGCTTTCAAGCAAGGGAAACCTTTACTAGTAAAAAGGCTGCAGCCTTGTGGTGCCTTAAAACCTAGTTACATTTCATTTCATCATAAGCTTGGCCAGGAACTCACTTGAATGTTTTGCAGCA